GTAAACTTGAGAAAACTGATTGAGTATCTTAATCCTGAAGACTTTATATCACTAATTCGCCTTTTAAGGTTAGTCATTGATTGAGCTACCCATACAACTTAACGGACTTTATGTTTCCAAATGTCAGCCCTACTGCTGATATTCTACCATATGTCTCCCTTCCTTTGTATCTTCAGTGTTTCCCCTCGTTTGAGATTTCTTCTTTAAAAAGTAAATAACAAGGGAGGCATGGGGAGAAGAGAAAAGACAGTTAAGCTGCTTCTTTATCCTAGTTTTTCATTTTCCATGAATACATCCTTCTACTGAAGACTTAAGAGAGAGTTAGAGTCAAGAGGCTGCCTCGGGGGATGGAGGTACCCAGAAGGACAGGAGTAAGGGAAGGATAGCTGATGGTACAGGTAGGAGGAGAGGCAAAAAGATGAATTTTGTCTGATGCATCTCATTTGATTTGAATAACTCTATGAGGAATTGTTATTCTCAGTTTATTGATGAGAGCACTGAGGCTGAGAAAAACTAACTCACAATTTTATCCATTTTCTTTTACTCAGTGCTATTCTTGAGACTATCAATTTCAACATTTTGTATAAAAGCAGCATATAAAATTATATATCTATATTGATCTATAGATATTATATATTATATATTATATATCTATATTGAATATAATGATATAAAGAAGATAAAGTGAAAATATAAGAAAAAGAATATAACTAAATGCTACTAAATTGTGGTTTCTGCAAGGTAGGGTAAAGGAGGCCTTTTTTCTTATTCCTAGATTTCTGTGTTTTCCAGAATACACATGATTGCTTTTCCATCATCAGCAGAAGTAGCAGCGATAATAGCAACAAATAAATGGTGTGCATTGCCTTAAAAGGAAAGCTACTTTTGCTTCTTGGGCTGCCAGCATTCCTCTGGTAAGGTAGAAGGCTTTTAAGAAATTCGTGGAAACAAAGACTGTGTAGTATTTTAAAGGCTTGGTAAGTCAAATAAAACTCATAATGAAAATTTTGCCCTTAATTCTTGGAGTTTTTATTTGGACTATGTTACACAGTTCCCCTATCAGTTATACTGTTAAAAAAAAAAGTATGTTACCGTGACTCAACTAAAAATGAAACTGGTAGCCTGGTCTGCAAAATATTCTCATACCCCTGCATTCTGTGGAAAGCAAATAACTGAATTGAAGGTGTTTGTCCACAGTGCAGTCCTTTACCAAAATATTTCCATGCCTCCAACATACTAAGGATCCAATCAGTTCCTTTGAAAGATCCAGTTAATAATAGAGATGCTTTATCTACACAATGCTGGACACCTGAATTGATAGAACTGAGAGATCTTTTGTGTAAAGATCTTTTGTGTAGAGAGATCATTGTGTAGACAGAGCTGAAATGTGACACGTGATCATGTAAACCGTGTCTCCTCAATATCAGAACAACTGATTGTAAAGCAAAAGATTTAGTCAATCGGATAATTCTTTTGTCTACACAATTCCAAGCCATTATTCTGAGTAATTTGCTTCATTGAATTTACCAAATATTTGGTTGGTTTCCTAAAATATAATTGAATCTGAATAATGAGAAGAAAAAAGATTCTGGCCTGGATTTTCTGCTTAGGGAATATAAGTTAAAAGCAAACAAAGCAACAAACTAAGAACTTACATTTGTTCCTTACACAAAAATCCTCTTTTATTTCCTCTTAAAATGTAGTTCTTTTAGACTATACACGTTTTTTCTTTAATACCTTGGTTAGAAAGACCTCGTCCAGAGAGAATGTTTGTTAAAATGTAAATTAAACTTGCCTGAAAGAAAGAAAATGCAGAGAAAATATTAGAATAAAAGTCCTTGGGTTATAGGGGGTGGAGGTTAGAATCTTTCCAAAATTTAACAAAAGAACCATTTCAGAAGGGGAAAAAGCCTGATCAAAGGGTCATTGATCTTGGACAAAACTGACTCCCCTTCATGGCTCTCATTCCATTCATCAGAGGCACCACTGTTTTTCCAGACTCAGAACCCTGATGCCACACTGAACGGTCCTCTCTTGGTCCTTTGTATCTGATATGTTCACATCTCACCTTCTCTTCCTTTGAAACATCTCTCTGGCTCACACTTTATTTTAAATTCTCCTGATAGAGAGTATTGCTACTTCGTGCCTGAATTATTACCAACAACTTCCAAAGTGGTCCCTCTGCCACCAGTCTCTCAACTCCAAATCTGCCTCATCCACAGCTGTCAGATTTATGGTCCCCAAACACCCCTTTCCTCGTTGCTGCCCCCTGCCCACCACTCACCTTCTTTGTTGCCCCTGCACTAAGTTCACACTCCTTTCTCTGTCTAATAGTTGGGATCCTCCACAGCCCTTTCATCCCCCCGCCTACCCCTTTATCTCTCCTACACACTCTGTCAATCCAATCTTACCTTTTGCTGTTTCCTCAAAGACATCATTTGTTTTAGTCAACCAAATCACTACACCATAAAAATCACCCGCTATATACCCTCTCCCGGCCCCCTCTCCAAATCTATACCATTCTCACCCCGGCCCTGTCCTTTCTGTGCTGTCTTTCTTGGCTTTTACTTTTCAAATTATCCTCATCCTTCCAGAGTCTTCTCAAATGCCACCTCTTCCATGAAGGCTTCTCTGATCCCTCTAGCCCCATAATTTCCTTCCTTTTCTCTGAATCCCTCCTATCTATAATCAAGGTGGAATTAGATGACATATTACTTAAATGCACTTCTATTGATTTAAGTAGCATCCCTTGTTTCTCAAGGAGGGTGTTATTGCCATTAGTAACAGGGCACTTCATTGTGCAGAACTGTCTAACACATTTCACGACATTTGGCATCCCCAGCTCCTGATGCTAAGTGACAGCGATGTTATTGTGACATCAAAACCCAAATGCTCCAAATACAGTCCCAAATGCCCTAATGATTAAAAAGTTCCTTAGAGAAGTTACTATATACACACATGTTCAACAAATGATCTTTGTTCAAATGGTGAATGTGTATTTTAAAGAATAAATCCCTATGTCCCTTACAGTTGCCAACATATTTAAAAAAACAAAACAAAACTCAGAAGGAGGCTAATTAACAGGTGACCCAACACTCCATCTTAGGTGTCTTTCCTAAGTTTATTTCACTGAACCCTCACACCAAGCCTGGTTGCTATTTCCCCTTATCCTTAAAGGTGAGGAAACTGAGGTTCAGAGAGTTCTGCTTATTCAAGGTCATATATCCAAGCTTGATTAGAACCCCGGCATTTTAAAACCCAGGGTTGTCTGGAGCCAAATCTTTGGCTTTTTCTTCTACCTCTCAGACTCTATAAGGACAGCCTATCTGTAACAGCTTTGAAATAAGAGTGTGAACATGTAACACAATTAGCAACTTAAAGGACATATTACTGCTGATAGGTACTAATGACTGTAATTGAAAGGAAGGACATCCAACCAGACAAACAATTTTTTAGAATTTATCAGAAGAATATTAATTAGAGTCTAATGAATGAATATACTCCCTGACCTTCTTTGCTGCAGACATTAACCCATGTTTAGTCTCTAATTGAGATGTACACATTCTTTACTCTCTTACTGTATTTGTTAATGTTTGTCTTGGCAGATGGCCAACAGATCTCTCTAAATTTCCCTTAATCAAGTTTTGGGTAATAGATGGTCGAATATGCCTCGTATGAGGTAGCACTGCTAGACCCAAGTAACAGAAATCTAAGAGCTGGCTTTAGTTGCTGAAATCTTCCCTTTTCATCATCTAGGCATCTTTAATAATAAATGTTACATAAAGTATCATGGCTTCATTTAAAATGTTGTATATACTTCTTTTTAGTGACAGTTCATTATTCATTTCATGCATGTCTAAAACACCTACATTTATAAGTAATATTTCACTGTGTTCCCAATGTCCACTCACAATTCTTCATATATCAGCTAATCTAAAGTTTAGGAGTGACAGTATGGATGATTCACATGCATACTTCAAAAAGTACACTCAGTTTCTATGTACAGAGGAAGAACCATATTCTTACAGGATAAAAAAAGAGAGAGAAAATTCAACCCCTTTGAAAAAGCCAGTATTGTTGATTTTAAGTTTTTCTTTTCAGCTCTGAGAATATTTACCATCTGTTTATTCTGTTTAACAAAGAAGGGAAGGGAACTGAAAGGTAAATTCATAAATAACTCAGAGTAATTGTGTAAATACAGATAAACGTGCATATGGTATAAAAGTATGTTACTCCTCTATTGTCTTATAAACCATATCTACTGAAACAAATTTGCACTTCATTCATGTAAAACCACTATTCAATGTAACCACCTGTGCATTCAGGTGATCTGAAACATAAAGGGATTTTTAGTTAGGTTTGGCAGGAAAAATAAACATATAAAACATTCAATCATTCTTTGTAGCAAATTGAGCTTGGTGTTAGCCTTTTTATTAGAACATTTCCTGAGCAAAGTGCATTTTGTGCTTCTGTATGCTAGGATACTTTGCAGGGAGCTACAGGAAGAGGTGATAGAATCTTTCTCCACTAAACTAAAGGTAAAAATAAAAAGTCCAGGAACCCTTCTCAGTTTCCTTATTACTTTGACTTATCTTTACTCAAATTATTTTCTCAAATCTTTGTCAGACAATAGAATTCTTAAAAATATCCAGCTGCTCCCTACAGAAGCCAGAAGTGGTCTAAATATTTTATAACATTTCTTAGAGAGGCACAAACATTTTAAAGGTGGAATTCCAGGGTTTCTGTTTCTGTTTCTTTTTATCTTAATAGCACCTGAACTAGTACCTGCTGATGTGCTATCATGTTTTCCCCATCTATTTTTACAGCTTCAGCTGTTTGAGAGACGGATTTAATATGTAAAGCAGAAGCTTCCACTGTAAAACACTTGCATGATTGTATTTTGGTTTCGCCATCAGCTAAGTAGGGCAAAGTTGATCCCATCTCACAAGGAACTCTCTCCCACACTTCCCCTGTGGACTTAGAGGTTCAGATTTGCTTACCTGCTTCCTCGAAGATACCGTGCTGTTGAAATATCTATTAGAAGTCTTTGAATTCAAATTCTTGTTCTGATGGATTGAGCCATTTTTCCATGTCTTAGAGTTTTCTTTAGGATCTGAAGGAATGGGATTTAAGAAGAGGATCCTAGCTATGAATCCATAGAGGACAGTGGCCAGGATCATCGGCACAACATAAAAAACACCGAAGTCCATTATGTAAATAGGTGAGTAGTAATTCCTGGAGATCTTGTAGCCACAGGACACCACAGTAGCATCTTTATAGGTGCTAATATTGAGATCCAGCAAGAAGAACCAGAGCATACAGTAAATGGATGTGAAAGCCCAGACAAAGATGATGATCTTTTTGGCTCTGGAAAATGTGCAGAGAAACTGGGCTTTGATGGGGTGACATATCGCTATGTACCTCTCGATGGTAAAGGCCGTGATTGAACAAGAGGATGCATTAATGCCCAAGTACTGGAGGTAAGTAATGCAGAGGCAGCCGACATAGCCATAGACCCAGGAACCGTAGATACTGTCCGTGATGTTGGGCAGGCCTGCAGCCACCAGGACCATGAGATCAGCTACTGCTAGACTCACCAGGTAGCAGTTTGTGGGGGTCCTCATGTGCTTGGTTCTCATGACCACCAGGACTACCATGATGTTGCCCACGATGCCCAGACCGCAGATAATGAGCACGAGTAAGATGGTGACCACCTGGTATTCTAGGGCCACCACTGCTCGCGGCTGAAGCTGTGTTTGGTTCAGTTCACTTACTGTCTCGTTTTCCATCTTTAGTGGCTGGAGGTATTTCTGAAACACTTCTCAACACATCCTCTTTCCAGTGCCCTGCCTTTATCACCGTGGTTCTCTCCCCCTGTGAAGAGTTACAGTCCACATTCACTCACAGTGCCGCCTTTCAGATCAAGTCACAGTCACTTACATGTAATTCTCACATCCTCTTCTTTCACCTCCCATTTTTCTACAGTAATAGGGCTCAGATGTACTTCTGAAAACTCCTTTTATTGCAACTCTAGTGTAGGCTGGAGTAACTGTTTTGACCAGCTTACAATAAAAGGGACTGTTTTCCTTTTAATGGAGAAAAATGATCAAGAAAAGAGATACAGAAAACACTCCCTGTTTTGAAAGAGTGCTCAGTGGAAAAAACTAAACAATATCTGAAAAATAAATATGAAGAAACCTCTCAGATGCTTGGGAAAAGTAGAATAAAGAAGAAAAAGATACTGGGGGTGAATAAGCCGAGAGGCTCAATGATAGAGCTTGGCAGAAAATTAGCATTTGCCTCCTTTGCCCTCAGAGGGTGAGACCCCTTTAGCTACAAAACAGCAAGCCTTTCAGCGTACATCTCCCCATGCCCCCCACCCTGCAGACCCAACAGAGACCAACTGCTTCTCTTACCTTTTCCTCTGTAGTGCTGCCTGCTTATTAAGATAGATGAAGCAGTAATAAGTGCGAGTTTCCAGTCCTGCAGAAACGCTTGTCTACTTTGTTTGACAGGGAGACCACTTAGCAGTGCTCCGTCTTCAGAACTGCGGTTCCTCTAAACCCTCGCAGCCTTTCCAACTGATGACAGACCATACAGACGCAGCAGGAGCAGCAGCAGGAGCAGCAGCAGAGACGCTGTCAAATCATAGATCGTCCCCTAATGAGAACACGCTCGCTCTCTCTCTCCCCTTCCTCCTCCCTCTCTGTCACCCTCACACACACATTCACACTCACAAATGCCTGTCAGTCCTCACTGATTCATAATCTTCTCCCCTTGAAGGATTTACTTCTAAATGCACTAATGATACGGTTCTCAGTCTGGGAGGCTGGAATTACAAGCAAGGGGTCCAGAAGTAGCTGGTCCTGTAGTTGTTCATAGCCCAAGTTCTACAGAAACTCCAGTACCTGAGCAGCCCTGACATATATTTACACTCCCTGTTTGACAGGACTTTGAGGAGAACAAACCCTTCTCAGTCCAGACACAGCCCTTGAAGCTTGAAATATCTTTCTGAACCGACATCAACTTCTTTCTGTACTCTGTACATCCTCAGACTATTTCTCCAGTGAACCAGGGAAATTGGCTCCCTCCTCTCATAGCATATGAATGGGAAATGGGTTAAAATTGATTTTAAACCACTTCAGCTGCAATCTTCTGAGCTGATAAAGATTTTTTTCCCAAAAACTGTTTGAGCTAAGGACATCAATTTAAACCTACATATGATCTGTAAATTTTTCCACTCTGGCTCTGCCTCACTTACTAGAATCTTTCTAACTGCCCTGGATGCCTCTCTCTTCACCCAGCCTCTGGGCATCCAATCACACGTACCACCCAGCAATGTTTTATGTCAGTTTATTTCTAAGAGGAAAACACATCCAGTGGAAATCTAAACCAGGGCCACTCTGGTATCACACAAAACTTTCCAAACTATCTTTTTAAGAAGAGTGTAATTCAGCCTGATTTTTATTTTTCTAAAGTAGCCCATGGGCCAATCTTTATACTTTTTATGGAATCTCAGAAAACATGTCTTTCTTCTCTAGGCACCAAATGAATATACCAAATGTTAATGTTTGTCTACTTCTGTTTAAGATGAAAAACAGCCCTTAATTTAGTTCCCTATACAGTGAACGGGTTGATTCTCTATCTTTAGAAGTCTAGATGTTCTTTTTTCTAGAAGATGTCAATGGAAGATTAGATTTTGAGTAGATGGGACCATGGGGGTATCAACGGGATGAAGCTCTGGATCACACTGAGTGAATTCCACCCTCTGAACTGTTGAGGGCTCCTTGAGTGTCTCATGTGCCACTTGGCTAGCATCAGTGAAAATGAGCATCTCACTTACAGGCTCCTTTGTAAGAATGCCGGGACTTTTTTTTTTGATCTGGCCTTGGACTTGACCCTTGAGCTTGAGGAAGGATTTAACACTTCTGCTTCCCACCCTTGGCATTCCCAACCTAACAGCTTGCTCTAGGTACCTGGCTTTCCCTTCCCTGGCTTCCCTAGGAAACCGTTTGCTTGGCCAAGTCTCTGTCCCTGGGACCCAGGGGCCGACATGATTTCATACCTGCTGCGTTCTGCACAAGAGGAATTCTACAAGAATTTCACACAAGAATTCTACACGAGAGAAATTAGGGAAAGCCCTACCCTTGTCTCTGAAGATGATCTGAGCTGTCTAGGTAATAAGTGGCTGTCCACTGGTTGTCATCAACCCATTAGTTGATTTATTTATGCGTTCAGCATTTCTCAAGCATTAGCATGCTTCTGGATCTCCTGAAGAGCTTGTTAAAATCTGGATAAAACTGTCCCCAGATTTCTGTTTCAGTGGCTCTAGGGTGGGACCCGAATGTGCGCATTTCCTGTAAACTCCAGCTGATGCTGATGCTGCTTGTCTGTGGACCACACTTTGAGTAACCGTGTACTGTATGATCTAGCTGAGCGGTTCTGGTGTGGGCGGTGGGGAATAATGAGGAATTAAAATCACCTGGAGAAAGGTTCTACAATGCACATATCAGCCTAGCCCTCCTAGGTATTTTGGGTTTTAGTGTATTTCCTCAGACTGGACTAGAGCCTGAGAAAGAGATTGGGGTTCTGGACAAATGGCAATTGACTTGATCTTGTCCTCTGTATATGTCACTCCCTGTCTGTGCTGTCATGCCTGGTGCTTGGCTTGGCAGGTGGGGGACTGTTGGAAAAGAGAACATCTGTGCTAAGGTCAAATGACACTGGGGTCAGAGACAGTGTGGAGCACCCAGCTAGCTCAGGGGTTTGCAGGACCCAGACCAGGGTGAGGAGGGGGCAAAATTTCAGGGGCTGCCAAAAACCTCAGTAATTAATATCAATATTTTGTAATGTTTTTAAAAATCAAAGTTCATGCAAAAAAGTCTATGATGAAGAAAACATCAACATTTTAAATGAAGACAGCATCAGTATGATGAATTTTCCTTTTACCTTGGGTTCCAAGTACTGATTCTTTACTTAAAATTTTGATCTTTTGTTTATGATGGATTATTTTGCATTAGTTTTGACTTTTAAAAAATATTGCATTAAAGTTATTTCTTGATTATCAGTTTATTTTGAGTCCCCTGAAATTTCGAATTCTCCCTTGCCTCCCTCTATTCACCTCCTGGTTGAATTTCAGAATCATCTGGAGAGTTTTAAAAAAATACAGATACTTAGGTCCTTTTCCCAGATATTCTTATTTAATTAGCCAGGGAGTTAAGTCTGTTGGCATGTACAGAGATAGGTAAGAGCCACTGGGCTACACCAACAAATGCGGGTCTCTGGAGACGAGGGAATGGTGGTAGGTGGGGGTCCAGGCTGTGGGAGGGCCAGGGAGGTGAAGTCAACTAGATGCAAGTAGCCCACCAAGGACTGGAAAGAAGACAACAGAAAACGCTGGAAGCAGAACACCGCACAAGACTCTGGTTCCTGAGAGAAACTGTATAACTAGGCAGTGTTTTAGGTTTCGAAGTACAGCACATCATGTGGTCTAACAAGTTAAAATTCAAAAACAGAAACCACAGAAAAGACTTGGTCACTGGAATTGGGAGACAAGGTCTGGGTTCTCGAAGGAGCAGATGAAGTCAGTCCTGGATTTGACACTGAATCACCTAGATACTGAACTAAGGATGCTTCAGTTTCCTCTGTTCAGGTTTAAGCCTCATCACAGAGCCTGGAGTCGAAGAAAGCATTTGGCAAACTTTATAGAAGAAATGTCAAAATCCATTTTTGCTAAAATTTGAGTATTAGCTAGAGAAAATTATTGGCTGTTGATCCACGAAGGAAAATACTTCATGTAAGGGGATTATGAAGTTGTGTGCTTATTGGTAAAGGCATAGAATCTGAAAGGTGAAATAAGTTACATGGTAATATTGTATATTTTGAGCACAAGTTGCCCTTTCTTACTATTTCTCAATCATATACACTGTTATATTTCCATTCCCACGTGTCCACAAAATAGGATCTTAGGTTTTAAAACGAAGTACAGCAGAACTAAACCTAAAAGTATCTTTAAATGAAAAGCATAAACACACACACACACACACACACCCACACCCACCCCTCCTTCCCCTCTGTAGTCTGTCCCACTTGTTACCTGTGAAGTGTGTTCAGGAAGAGTTAACATCAGTTACAAAAGTTTCTGCAGAGGGTCACTTGGGATATGACCTGCACAAAAGATGAAAGAGTAAGAATTTTAATCAAAACCTCTGAGCTTGTGTTTATCTTGATTTATTACATGTTTTATGGAACACTATTTCAGGTTATTTTTAAAAATTCATATAATTTTTAAAAGTTACTGTAATTAAATTATCATAAAATTCCATTTTGCAAGCTGAACATGGCTTATTCTGGCTGCTAGGAATCTCAAGTCCAAATTTATAGCCTTACATAAATAGTTATGTAAGACTTTACCAATAAAAGGTGCTGTTTTGCTGACAAATCTATCAACTTAGAATTTGGCCTTCAGTTGCTCCTGTTCTTATTCATTATGTCAGACACACAAATTCAGACACATAACACTGCTTCCCAGATATGTATATATTATTTAAAAATCAATTTCATTGAGGTACAATTTGCATAAAATAAAAATAAGTCACTTTAAGTGTGGAGCTTTATTAATTCTAGCAAATACATAAAACTTGTAGCCACCACCATAATCAAGACACAGAAAACTTCCAGCGTCCTAAAGTGTTTCCTATTTTCCTTTCCAGTCAGTTCTCTGCCCCTGAGCAATTCTGTGTTTAGGTTCATGGTGTTCAGCTTTCTCTCTCTAGACTATAACTTTTGAAGAGTTTTATGTAAGTGGAATTGTATAATACGTACTCCAGTTTCTTTAAATCGGCCTAACATGTTTTATATTTATACATTTTGTTGCATGAATCCATGGTTTGTTCCCTTTTATTGCTGCATAACGTTCCACGATAGGCTATGTGGCTGTATTGTATTTCATCCAATCACCTGTTGGTGGATATTTCAATTATTTTCCAGTTTTGGTTATTATGAATAAAACTTCTATTAATAGGCATGCAATGTTTGTGGAAATATTTTGTCATTTTTCTTGGTTAAGAATGACCAAATTCCAAGAGTTAAGTTGTTGGGACATAAATTTAGTATATGTTTACATGTTTAAGAAATCACCAGAATTTTTTCCAAAATGATCATACCATTTCCATATGAATTTACATAATATTTTGTTTTTATAGAAATCTACATAATGGCTACATGTAAAAAATTCAAGGAAGAAAGTAATCCTACGTGTTTAGGGTGAACTCTGCTTTATGCATTTGTGTATCCCCCAGCAGGTAGCAAGAGATATACACAGAGGATACAGAAAAGGCAGTTCATGTACAAGTTTGTTGTATAAATGAGTGAATTAATTTTCCTGAATGATTGACTTCAAATATAATTCATAGAACAGATGTGATGAGCAAATGGCATCATATATATCAAGCACTCAGTCCAGCACTTGACACAAAAGTCTAGTATACTTACTATTCTATAAACAAAATGTGTTCACGGAAAATAAAACCGGTATTAAATTTGCTAAAACACCACATGCCACCTTGAAAATTTGTAAGTTATAAAATACATCTTGCTGTATCCAATGGGGTTTTTTCATGGCTTGGCTAAGATACATCGCTATGGAGATCCTAGTGCCATCTCGCTCTTATTCTTTGGAAACTGAGTAAACGTGAAATATAACATTAAGCATTTTCATGCCTCCATGATTTTATTAACCAATTAGCAAAATGCAAGCATTTGTTCATTCACCATAATTATGTTCATAACAAATGCGGGAATTTGTAGAATTGAAATTCTTACTGATGCCTTTGAAATGATAATGTTTGTGACAGAAAACCTTGAGAAGAATGGTTTGTTTTAGTTGTCAGGAATTGTTGGCTGACATAGTATGCGAAGACAGAAAATAGGGCACGGAATACTGAAACCGTATGTAATGTTTTTAAAAAAGGAAAGGAAGACAGTAGTGAGGACTAAAACCCGGTAACTTAATCATTAGGTTGTTAGTCGCAGCTGGGTATTTGGTGTTCCTGATGGAATCATCCTGGCACTTATGTGCAGAAGGGACCACACCTCCACCAGGATATGTTTTCTGACACTCCCATAGGTGGCTCAAACCTTTGGAGAAGGCAGGTGGGGCTTGTGGGGAGTGATGGTGATAGGAAAGAGGGGTTTGTCTGAAGGAGGTAAGATCTGCCAAAGTCAAAAGTAGAGCATCTTACAGAATCCAAAGCCACTTCACTACCAGAAGTGATTTTTTTAAAAATAAAAGAGGCATTCATGAGGAACAAATTTTCAGTTTGTGAAATCATCATAGTAATTTCCTCTAAGGCGAGACATTTCTGAAGCATTTTATTATAATTTTTCTTAAACTTTCCAGTCTTCTGGGAAATCCTGTTAAAAGAAGAATGGCAGGAAAGAAGTGTGGTGAATGAAATAAGTGATGACAGCACCGAGTGATTTCTCGCCTTCAGTGTAGAGGTTCATTTGTCCATCCACCTACTCATCCGTTCACACTTGTTAAATGCTCCCTTATCGAGTGCCAATTATTTGACAGGCTCTCTGCCAGGCAATATAGATAGAAATGTGAATATGAAAAGCACAGAGGAGCTGCCAGCCTGGCAGGGGTGACAACACAAACTGCCAATTATAATGCTTTGTGTTAGCTGCTAGAATTGAAGTATGTACACAATTTTAAAGATGTACAGTGTCTGGAGTGACTAATTCTATGTGAAATGGTACGGAGTAATTTCACAAGACCAGGGGAAAGGTCGACAGGTCTCAGGTCCAGGAGAAATACACAGCAATAGAGTTGTACAAAGAACCGCTGACCAGCCAGCTGGGGTAGAGGAAAGTCCCCACGTATAGAAAACTGTCAGTGGACAGCAGTAGGTGTCGTGTTCCTCTGTGAGGATGTCCCATAGCGAACGCTACTCTGTAACATGTGCAGTGCCTGACTCCTCCATCCTTGGACAGACGTAGAGCCCTGTTGCAAAGTCATCCACAAAGCCCAGGGTTCTTGACTCAGACTGACTGGTCTTTAGTCCTGGTTTGCTTACTGTCTGTGTGACTTTGGCAAGTCATTTAACTTTTCTTCACCTCAATATCTTCATCTGTAAAGTAAGGATAATAATAGTAGCTATATCATAGGGTTTGTGTGTGAGTTTTTTAAGGATTAAATGAAGCAATGTGAATTAAAATTATTAGAACTATGCCCACACAAGAGTGTACTGAGTAAATATTAATGGCTATTATATTTAGAGTAGGAGAAAAAGACTGTTTTCTAATTCCACTGATTTTTGAGGCATGATCCTCTGAAGTGGTACCCAGTTAACTGATTTTTGGTTTCAAGAGGTGGCAGGGCCATCTCCAGAGGTTGGATGCTCATCTGTAATTGCAAAGAAATGCCAGCTAAAAGACAAGATTCAAATCTACTTAATGATGAGAGGAATGGTTAATGTATCTCCTTTTTGGCTGAGCAAATTCTTGAAATAAATCAGGGAGCCTAGGATGCACATTCTCATCAATCCTTCTCATTGAAGCTCTGTAGTCCCCAAAGCAATTCCCCAAAGTGATTGGTGTTTACCAAACTCTATCAAATGAATATTTAAAAAGACAATGAAATTGCTAAGCACTGTGATTTTCAAACTGCAGGCTGAGACCCAATATTAGGTTATGAAATCAATTTAAAGTTTCATGATAAATACTATTTTAGATAGTACTTAATACAGGTATTATTTCATAAGCTTCTAATTTCATTTAATTCATGTAAGTATTAATATAATGTCTGACATTGTTATAGTGCTGGACATTGTTTTAAGAACTTTAATGTATCGTAACTCAGTTAGTTCTCATAACCATCCAAGGAGGTAAAGCTTATTACCAATTCCATTTTGCAGATGAGAAAACCAAGGGGTTAAACAACTTTACAAGGACAGAGAGTTGATATATTCCAGAGCCAGGGTGCAGACCTTGAAGTCTGGCTCTGGAAGCTTTGAGGTACATGGTGATAATATAAAATGTACATTATATTGTGAGTCTGGGTCAAGAGTTTGAATGCCATTCTGATGAAGAGAAAATGAGCAACTTCCACCATTCCAGCATCCCTGGGCAAATGTACTAGTTTTATAGGCCTTCCGCCCTCTTGGCAATCCCAGCCAGTGTTAATGTTCAGATTACTTCTGAGTTTTAGCCAAATGACTTAATCAACTTAGGAATGAAAGAGGAAGGTAAGTGTATGCAGAAGTGTAAGATGTCAAAGTCTTCAAGGGCATGCTTTTAGGGAGAGAAAATGGTGAACTGCTGAGATGTGCAGGTTACCAAAAATTCAGTTAGTACTATTCACAAAACACTATTTTAGAAAATAAATATTTACTGTGCATCTACTTATTCCAAGTATTGTGGGGAGCAAAGATAAATAAAACAGGGTCCCTTGTTCTCAAGTAGTTTATAGTCCAATGGGAGAGACAAGCAAACACAAAATCTGAGTTACAATATAACGTAGGAAGTTCAATAATAGAAACGTGAAAAAATGCAGTGAGCTTGTCAGTTGTACACAAGAGTGGCCACCAACTTGGCCTGGATAATGAAAAAAGCTCATGGAGGAGCCAATCTAGAGTAGAAAGAGGAGAGGGGATCTCAGGCTGAGGGAAGAATGTGTATAATAGAGTGAAGAGGGCGTGAGAAGGTGGAGCATGTTTATAGAACTATGGTTGTCCCAACTTTTCCTAGGAATGAGAATGTCTTTGGAAAGAAACATTCATTTTTTTCCTACAACATCCTAATAATTGAAGACATGCTGATCCCTGCCAAAATAGCTACATTCTCCTAGGCTCTAGTGCGTGTGTGTAATTGAATACCAGCGGGGCTGGGAAAAGAACACTTTTACTATTTTATGCTTGTCCCTAATAAATTCTGGCTGAAATAGCTTACCTAAGGGCTTAGCGTAGCTTAAAGATTGAAACTCTGCTGATTGATTGACTGCCTCTCGTGGGAGATGCTGCAGGCAGCGACTTTAAACCTTCCTTTCTTGTTTCAGTTAGATTAGGGCCAGGGTCACCACCTCTCCAGAGAAGAGCAAGCCATGGGAACATCTCCCCCTTGCTCTAGACACATGATTTAACAATGTGTTTCAATAGGCAACATTAGCTTTTGGCAACCAGAGTTTAGTACAATGTGTAATGGTCCAGGGTCACTTAAAAAAGTAATTGGTTTCATGCTCAGAAGAACAGAGAGGCAAGGCGTGAGTGTAATGGAAATGAAAGCCTTGAGTGTCCCATAAATGAGCAGGATGACCCTGGACAATTTACTTCAATTCTCTGAGCCTCAGTTTCCTCATCTATAAAATGAAGGTGTTGGAAGAACTGAAGTGTTCCAGTTTTAAATGTGTAATTTTGAGAGTATTTTAGGGTCTTCTTGAGAATCAAAAGAAATGATGTTTAAGGTTCCGGTAGCCCAGGGTTACACTATAGTGTCTCTCCTACCCCGACATTTTGAGGGAATCAAAATGGAAAAAGTGGGTTTCCTCTCTAAAGCTGGACAAAGATGTCCTCTGGATCGAGTCTGGAAAGCGGGACCCTCTGGTTATGTCCCTGGTGTTTCATCATATCTGTAAAGCTGCACTGCTGGCAGCCTACAAGGCTGCTCTGTCTGGCTCTCCTGTGTTGGTACCTCAGCATGGAAAAGGCCCAAGTTCTTGTGCATCACACACACACGGCCAACAGCTCTCTGGGCCTGCAGCAGCTCAGCTGCATCAGGGGACAGAGCGGACAAACCCACATGATGTCAAAGAACCAAGCTCTTGGGGACCGTTAAACCTGCTGTGCATATACAGAGAAGGCCCCTTGAGAGTCCAGGGTAATATCTCCTCTTTGGAAATAATTATATTCACCTTCTTGCTTTCTGTTCTTGGAGAATGCATATTAATGCAAGAGAAAATCAGAGCTCTGCTGGTCTGATGATGTATATTTTATGGTTCTTTTGTTGAAAGTACACCTCTTTTATCGGTTACCTCCTTAACTGTGATTAAGGAAATGCCAAATCCTGCTCCTGTCCTGTTGCTATAGCGATTTCTGAGAGATAAAAGCCAGGCATGAAGTATTCAGGTGCAATTTTTATCAAACTAATGTTTAAATTAAACACGGGTTTTAATTTACTTATTAAAATATTTGAAATCTGGTGATCACGGAAGCTGAAGCTCTACTTTCCCAATTACCTCTGCCTTGTCCTCCTTGATTGCTGTTTCATGCACACAGGTGTCTTCAGCAGGAGTGACTCACTGGCATTTTCTTATTCTCAGATGAGAGTCGCTGAGCCTAAGGGAAGGCAGTTGAGTGACTGGATCAGTTGAAGGGACCACCCTTTTTAAGGGCAACAGTTTAACCTTCTATTTTTGATGAGCGCTAATTAAAAAAAGAAATTTTAAATGCTTCTTCCTCTCCAACTTGAACACTGGCCTTGGTATTTTTAAAGTCATAATAACTATACTTTGGAAACTTGATTTTGTTCCTAGTTCCACTTTGTAGAATGTCCTCATCTGGTCTGACTGGTGTGCCACACTTCTGTTTCTCTCCATCCATTTCAAGGCAGAAAAAACTAACCTCTTGGTGGTAGGTCAGAAATGTGGTACTGTGTCAAGTTCACACACGGGAGCAGAGATTGGAGGATGAGAGAGATGGAGGTAAGTGGAGTGGAAGGGTGGCTTGGATAGCAGTGGCAGAACAGATGGTCACTTGGGTGCGGCAAATTTGGAGACTTTTTCCCAGCCCTTGCTCCGTCTGGTGCATAGACCAGGCACTGGAAAACTTTTCCTGTAATAGGCCAGAGAATAACTATTTTTGGCTTTGCAGGCTGTTCCACCTCTGCTGTAACTGCTCACCTCTGCTGTCGTAGCTCAAAAGCCATCACAGGCAATATATAGATGAAGACGTGTGGCTGTGTTCCAATCAAATTTTGTTTATGAACAAAGAATTGTGAATACCATGTGACTTTCACGTGTCACAAAATATTATTCTTCTTTTGATTTTCCCCCCAGCCATTTAAAAATGTAAAAGCCATTCCTAGCTCATGGGCTGATAAAAATAACAGACAGTGGACTGGTTTGGCCACCAGGGTGCTGCTTGCTGAGTGTTCAGAGGGTGGAATCTGGGGTCCAGTTGTCTGCCTTTGAATTCTGGACTCTTTCATTCTACCTGTTTTACCTTGGGCAATTAATTTCTCCCTGTCTCGGTTTCCTTGGTGTACAGTAAAGTTGGTCATAGTACCCACTAATGGAGTTTCTAAAGTTTAAATAAGGGGATAGATATAGAGTGATTAGAATCGTTGTTAACATAGTAAGTGCTCACTAATAGGAGTAATAATCATCCTCAGAGGAGGACCTTGGGGAACTGGGGGAGATGCTCTGTCATGATAGGATTGGACTGAAGTCAGTGTAAAATTTGATATCCATGGAAAAAGCCAATGTAATTTACAGTGAGAAGCCAACCACCCCTCCTTTCCTCTGCAGCCACCAGAGCAGTACAGGCTGCCCCTCTCCCATCCACCCCGGCCACTATCTATGGCCCAGTGACGACGAATGCTTCCCTGCGGAAATGGTTACTGGTGCTCTGTGTACCGGCATCCTTCTGTCACACAAAATTTAATCATTTTTATTTGCCTCACACAGCACTTTCTAAGTGTTGACACGGTGATTTCAGGACTGGTCTCATCATTTTCAGATCTTTTGATGGCTGTTTTTTACACCTCATAAATCCAGAGAGGCAAACTTTTGCTGAACATCATGCAGCTGTTTGCTAAGCAGCAGATAACTGCCCTCCCAGAGTTGTCCATAAAAATATAAAGTTGTTTTTATGATACTTTCTGTTTTCTCTTCTCATTCAACTGCTCCTATTTATTTCTGGTCTCTGGTCCTTTAGGGGAGCTTAGAGCTGAGGAATATTTGCTATGAGGGGGAGGAACTGTGAAAATATCTAGAAGGTATCCTACTGATGATTTGGTATCTTTTTTCATGATTGTTTTCAAATCTTGCAAATCAGTTTTCCCCAGGGGCCAAATCATAATCTTAATTAATTTCATTTTAAAGATACAAGCCATAAGAAGGAATGATGTGCCAAAATATTCTAACTTAGAAAAACCCATGTGTCAGTTTGGAGAATTTCATAATGGAGATAGCTGACAAGACTTTTTATGGCCTCTTAAAAATGGTGTCAGACATTTTCTGAGATTAGTGATTTTCACAGGTGTGTGACATAAGAAAATTTTTTAGGTCGATCATTCTCTACTGCTTTGTGTTGTAATTAGTTCTGTTTTTAAAAACTTTATTTTATTACACATTCATTCAAAGCATAAAAACCCAGGTTCTGGAGTCAGTTCTCATTCTGGCCCCATCATTTACTAGCTTTGTGACATTAAACAAGTTGTTTAAGCTCTCTTTGCTCAATTTCTCTGTAAAAAAGGTGGGGAGGTGTAAATAATTACACTCATCTCACAGAATTGCTGTAAAGACCAGAAGTCATAATTCATGTAAGGCTCTTATTTTTGTTTTTCTGTTGTTTTTTTTTTGGGGGGGGGTGATTAGGTTTATTTATTTAGTTTTTTTTTTTTTTTAATGGAGGTACTGGGGATTAAACCCAGGACCTCATGCACACTAAGCATACACTCTACCGGTAAACTATATCCTACCCCTTCGTATAAAGCTCTTAGAATGGTGCCTAGCACAGAATAAGAGTTCAAGAAATGTTAACTCTTTTTATTTGTCAAGTATTTGTCAAGTATTCAGCAAGGAGTTCATTTGTCCCTATTATGCTCAGACCTTGGCCCTTGGCCCTGTTGACCCAAAACAAATAAACTGCCTGATATTTTTCCAGCAAAGGTGGGCTTATTCAGGATCAGTAGAGAATTGCAACTCTGGGTCAGCACCCGTGGCAAGACACACGCACGTCCCCACAGCAAGGGAAGGAGGACAACTTTATAGAGGGAAAAAGGAAGTTGGGAGGGCTGTAGTAAACAGTCTGTGGCTTTTCAATGGCTGAGTCCCTGCCAGAAAAGAAGAGGAGTCTTTGTTCTTCCTGTTGGGCTCCGCTATAGTTACAGGAGGTGAGAGCTCCCCCTGCTGGTCTCCCCGCTCTATAGAGGTTTCTGTTTCTTAATTTTTTACAGCCCCCTTCACTTACTTGCTGTGTGACCTTGGGCAATTTGCTTAACTTCTCTGAGCTTCAGGCGTCTCATCTGTAACACAAAGATAATAATAGTGATGACCTCAAGATGTTGGTGTGAGGAGAAAATGAGTTAATAATACATTTAAAGCATCGAAATCAAGGTCTGACACAAAGTTACTGCTTAATAGTGTTAGATATTATTACATTTGTAATTTTACCTGGTCCTACAGTAAGGGACAAAAGACACAGCCACTCACAACCTGGTAAAGGACACCAATAGTAAGCCAATAATTGTAAGAGTGTGGTAACGGTGATGACAGGGGTGTGTATAGATGATGCTTAGTTTAAGGATAAGAACTCACAGTCCCTTTTTGTTCTTCAAAGCCAGCAGAATCAGCGTGCTTTTATTTTGGATGTAGACACATAATATTCTATCTAAACACAGAAGGTAGGTAAGCTCACAGTAGAAGGAGGCTGTGTGGCCTAGAAGACAGTAGAGGCAGACCTAGATTCAGTTTTTCACCCTGCTATCTACTAGTGAAATTTCTCAGCATCTTAGAAGCTCCATTTTCTTTTTAATAAAATGGGGATGATCTTACTTAGCTGTTTGGTTGTTGGGAAATAATATCCACTCCACGAGCGGCACATGGGAGACATATGGAAGCTACTATGATTATTAGCTAGGAATGGAAGAGGCAAAGACCACTTGCAAATTAGTAATGTGGTTAGAAAAGTCATTATTTACTGATTTAAACAAGGCCTTAATTTCTGGCTTTTATAGATAAAACTTCAACATTCCAGGGTTCTAAACTTATGAAGGTTCAAACAACACAAATGACTCTTGTAGAGATAAACTAATTTAGTTCAAAGGAAAAATATGACTAAAATGGACAGGATAATTATTTTAAAAATTAATGCACTAGCTAATCCTTGATACAGCCTTAACTGGTGATTACTGAGAGAATGTTTCCCAAAGTGTTTTACTGAAAACACAAGTTCTGCTAGTTCCAAGCGAGAAGGATTCTGTGGTTCAAACACTTAGAGAAATTCGGGGTTAAGCAAATTTCTTCACTATAGAACACTTCATGCCTTTTAAGATAAAGTATATTGAGTGTCTCTATGAAGGGAAAGCATGTGCAAAATTTTCCAGATGCATTTGACCTTGGAATTCCCTCTTCCTCCCTCCTGCTCCCTTATATGTGTGTGTGTGTACTTCATGCCCTAATCCAGTGGAACTCATTTTGGAAAATGATGCTTCATCTCTTTGTACACCCATATAATAGTCTGCTGTGCTGCCTCTTGCTGATGCTCCTGTTGGTGTCCTGAAGCTCAAAATGTAACATCATGCCAGACACAAAAGTGTTCTTCCCGTCTCATGCAATTTACGGGAGTCCTAGAGATTTTCCTTTGAACTGCCTATTGTGAGTTCATAATGTACATCTTAAGTTTTTTTAGAAAACTTTCTCAAAGCACCAGATTAACACTTTGAAACAGGGCAAAGAAAGTAAATAATAGGGAAAAAAGAAAAGTGATAGTTGAAATCCACTGCAAATATGTACTCTAAAAACAGTCTTTCATCTCGGATTTGAAAGAATTTTGTTGTGTACATTAATAAAGGGTTCCCTTCTGTCTGATTCAAGCTCATGATATAAATTACTTTCAGGTACTGCTTGTACAATGGTCACAGCCAGCAAGAGGGGTTATACATGTTGCATAGGCAGGGATATTCTGCCTGAAAGCAAATGTTTCCTTTTGGAGAAGAATGAAGGAATGAGCCATTGCCAAGGCCAGCCACCAGAACATTCTACCCAGGAGGATGAGTTGCAAACTGCCTAAACAGACAACTAAAAACCCACCTGAATTCTTCAAATCCCAGGCTATCTGAGAATAAAGAAATATGCTTTTGGTCAAAACTATTCTTCCATAGCCAACCACAAGTCTGAATTCACACAATCCTACAAAACCCCAAATGCAAGTTATCATTTCTAGAACACATGAACAGTTTCATGGCCAGCGTGCTTGATCAGTCTGCTGTCCTGGGCTCTGAGGGAGTCATGGAACCCAAGGGATCCATCTGCACTACGGCTTTGCAGCAGGAGCAGATGGCAGTCCTGTTTCTCCATGGCAGTGTGGGGAGAACCACTCCGTTCTTAATGGGGAATAAAAATGGATTCAACAAATTCAGTAAAGCCTATAATTAAACAATTTGACGATCTTTAAAGCTATCCAATAACTGATTCTACTTTTCCAATTTGTTCCTGCAAACTCAATTTGACCTGTCAGGCTGACACAACTTTATGTACATTGGATTACTGAAGAGAAGCAGTAAAATCATTCCAAAGCTAAAGCTTTGATCCCATAGTCTGGAAGGCCAGCTAATGAGGAGCTAGAGGCTGCCTTTTAATTTCTCAGTTAACTTTTGTCTTCAAAACAGGAATAGTAATTTAGAAATACCTTGTTCTGCTTTCTTTACATTATTGAGAATCTGTTATTTTTAAAAGACTTAAGACATTAATTAGAAAGGTGTTACATTTTAATTTAAAAAACAGTAGGTACTTGCTTTCTGGACCTGGCTAAGGAGTAGGCGCCATCATGGGAGTTGACATCCGCCACAACAAGGACTGAAAGGTTCGGCGCAAGGAGCCCAAGAGCCAGGACATCTACCTAAGGCTGTTGGTCAAGCTGTACAAGTTTCTGGCCAGACGAACGAACTCCACCTTCAATCAAGTTGTGCTGAAGAGGTTGTTCATGAGTCGCACCAACCGACCACCTCTGTCCCTTTCTCGGATGATCCGGAAGATGAAGCTTCCTGGTCGGGAAGGCAAAACAGCTGTGGTTGTGGGGACCATAACTGATGATGTGCGTGTCCAGGAGGTGCCCAAGCTGAAGGTATGTGCCCTGCGAGTTAGCAGCCGTGCCCGGAGCCGCATCCTCAAGGCTGGGGGCATGATCCTCACCTTCAACCAGCTGGCCCTGGACTCGCCCAAGGGCTGCGGCACTGTCCTGCTCTCCGGTCCTCGCAAGGGCCGAGAGGTGTACAGGCATTTTGGCAAGGCCCCAGGAACCCCACACAGCCACACCAAACCCTATGTCCGCTCCAAGGGCCGGAAGTTCGAGCGTGCCAGAGGGCGACGTGCCTGCCGCGGCTACAAAAACTAACCCCAGATCTTGCCTTGTTATTAAAAATTGATTTTGGATGCTGAAAAAAAAAACAGTAGGTACTTGGTTGTTCAGAATTTACTTAATTGCTTAAGAATTTTTTTGTGAAGTAAAAATAGAAGTTTAATGTTCTTACTTATTTGTTTATTAATACCATATTCCTCTTCTTTTTGCTCCCAGAGACCTTATCCTCACAGCTAGAAGAAGTTAAACTCGACTTCTAGCCTCAGCCCTGCCCCAGACCCTAGGATGTTGAGCTGTTTCATTTCCCTACTTCACTGGTGAGAAAACTAAGACAAGAAGATAGGAAGAAACTCACCCAGGATGGCCCAGCTCAGGTGGAGCAGAGCTGGGATCTGAGTTTGGGTGCTCTGTCCCTGGAACTGGTGTTCTTAACCACACACACCGGGTCTCCCCAGTGCCTACTGTATAAAACAGCCTCATTCTTTGAGTCCTTCTTTACCCAAGCAGGATGGAAAACAAAAACACACATGAGAGGGGCACCCATCCTTCTAAAGTAACCCCAAACAACCCCCCAAATCCAAAAAACAAACAACCTCCTAAAAGCTGTAGTCTCTGTTGAATTCAAAAACACCAGTTCCACAAATGTTAGAACTGTAGCAGCCACCAGAACTGCTTCTTTCGACTCTGACACTTTGAAGGAGGAGGCATTCACTGGGATGCATAAATGCCACCACATTGTAAGACATTAGTCTCATTAAACTGTGGTCACACTTCAGATGTAGTAATCAATGTGGCTAAGCGACAAGCAAATTTTGACAAATTTTTTTTTTAATGCTAGAAGGGGGAAGGAAGTAAAAGCAAAGATAGAACACTATACTGGTTTCATAAAGGTTATGTTTTTATCTGGAATAACATCCTTAATAATGAAGACAAGAAAATGCTTTGATGAAGCCTTTTTTTTTAAATTGTAGTATAGTCAGTTTATAATGTTGTGTCAATTTCTGGTGTACAGCATAATGCTTCAGCCATACATGAACCAATATATATCCGAAGCATTCTGATCAGATGGATGAATCATGACGTTTAGTAGGTAGGTAGTCCAGGTTCACGTGGTCCGATGTTAAATAGACACTAATTCTGTGGCGTAAGTCAAGTCTGCGTAGCTGCCTCCACTTCTGCAGGTCCTCAGGATTCTCACCAAGTTTTTCTTCTCGGGGCTCCTTCCTTCTCACCACTGGAAAAATGCCCTCTGGTAAACTAACTAACCCCTGTGGGATTGACCCCTGTACTCTCCACAACCTGGTTCAAATTATGATGGTTTCCTGTGGATCTCAATGTGCCAGCCCATCCACATCCTGTTTGAATCAGTCTCCAGTTGCTATGGCTACCACTCCCAGTTGCTGGGCACCCATGGTCTCACTGAGCTCTAATAGTACTTTGCGCAACTTTTAAGTAATTAACAGTTCATGCATTTGACTGCAGAATTTGGGTTTCAGTATTATCTCCACTGCTTCAGCTTAAGAGTTTGAGGACTCTTTGTATCACCCATACTGCAAGTGTAGAACTTCAAAAGTATTTGTTGACAATGTTGAATGAGGTCACCTACCGCAAAATTAACTGTTTTAAATCCCACCACTATATGTATACCTTTAATGGAGGTACTGGGGATTGAACCAGGACCTCGTGCTTGCTAAGCATGCACTCTACCACTGTGCTATCCGCACCCCACCTCCCCACCATTACATTTGACAATATTCTCATCCCTAGGGAAGAAAGCAGTAGCTCATCTTGGTTAGTATGATTTGTGGAAGAAGTATTTGTTCTTAGAAATCGTGGCAGATGTTGCCTTTTGCTTCCCAATATTCATTTTCCCTGGAGCAATGTATGCAGCTCCGGGCTATAATGCTCCAGCTTCTGCTGAGGCTGTAAGATGCAAGTGGAAATTGCTCCTTAAGATCTCCAGGAAAGCCTAAAGAAAGCTGTAAGGGAGCTGGGAGGTAACCTATTTGAATTTTATATCTCTCTTTTCTTTCACCGATAATGAGGGGTGATGGTTGGAGATCTAGCAGCCTTCATGGATCATGAAGTAAATTTAAAGATGCTAAGACTTGTTGATAGAAAAAG